CTAAATAAGCTGACTGTTTTTACTGACTGTTTAAGAATGATTCATAGCCAGAATAGCAACCTGGAATCAGGGGTAGACGTAACATAGTAAATGTAAATCCGGCACACTCCAATCTGTATGATATGTTACGTTTCATATGGTATTTGTGTATGTCCATCATCCATTTCGTATGATACGTTACGAATTACAATCCACATGATATTTTGCGAATTGCAATTCGTACAATATGTTACAAATTGCAATTTGTACGATATGTAACGAATTTGCTAAACTTACGATATGTTACAAATTCCAATTCGTTGTGGCTAACGTTAGCTAGGTGGTGAATGTTAGCAAAGCTAGGGGTTAAGGTTAGGAGTTAGGTTAAAGGGTTAAGGTTAGGGTTAGGGTTAACTAACATGCTAAGTAGTTGCAAAGTAGCTAAGAAGTAGTAAGTATTTGCAAAGTTGCTAAAATTGTCCATGACGTGCAACCTTTGGGTTGCTAGACCTTTACGTTATACGCCTACCAACTTTCGTTTTTGCCTTAAGTAACCTTCTGTCTTATGTAACCATACCAAACGTAACATATGATACTAATGTCTGTGTTCCGGATTTAAATTTACCATGTTATGTCTAGTCTATAAGACCAGGCTGAGAATAATGGAGTTTCACTGTGAAGCTAATATGCATTAGAGCTGCTGTTTTTTTTTCCTAATGAGTAGGCTTGCATTGTGATTAATTCATACAACTATCACACCCATGCATATTATTAAATGACACAGGTGTTCAAGAAAACATGGTTTTATATATTTGTTGAACACTAATATTGAACGGTGATATGGACTCTATCTAGATTAGAAGGCCTAGGCTAATCCATCCTAATATAAGCTAAATGCATTGCTGACCACTGCGCCCGAGTGGCGCAGTGGTCTAAGGCACTGCATTGCAGTGCTAGCTGTGCCACTAGAGATCCTGGTTCGAATCCAGACTCTGTCGTAGCCGGCTGCGACCGGGAGACCCATGGGGCGGCGCACAATTGGTCCAGCGTCGTCCAGGGCAGCGTCGTCCAGGCCGGCAGGGATGTAGCTCAGTTGGTAGAGCATGGCGTTTGCAACGCCAGGGTTGTGGTTTCGATTCCCACGGGGGGCCAGTATGAAAAAAAAAATGAAAAAAATGAAAAATATATATGAGTAAAAAAACAAAGGTGAAAGAAAAAAGTAAAAAAAAGAATAATGTGTGCACTCACTAACTGTAAGTCGCTCTGGATAAGAGCGTCTGCTAAATGACTAAATGTATAAAGGATAACATGTCCAATGTAATTCTATAAATGCATATCAAACAAGAATATATATACAATCAAATGAACACAGCTTTGTAATATTGTTGATGCCTTTCTCTCTCCTTGCAGGGGATTAGACAGATGAACTGCAGTCACCAGATGACCAAGCCTCAAAACCAGAAACGTGGAGACATCACCACTTTTAATTTGGAATAAATGTTAACATTTTTATTGGTTTTCCTTTGTCTGTGCGTGAGTCCTTAAAAAACACAGTAAATTGTACAAAATAAGTAATTCCCAAGTGAGGGACATCAATGAGATTAACCTCCAACATTCATAAACTTGTTCATTACATGAGGGCAAATTTAGTCATGACAGCCACATATATTTTTTATACACAGGACAGGAGTTTACAGATTTTGGTTCCAGCCCTTCACTAACACCTAATTCAACTAATTATAGTCTAAATTGAAAACTTACACACAGTGTAATCCCCTGGGACAGAAATTATTTCTGCATTTTAGAATGAGCTTCATAAATTAGAATGTCCTGACAAATCTGCATGATAACATTGTTATCCTGGGATATCATGATTATCCTGGTGGATTTATTTATGTTATCCACAAGTGTCTGGTATGGTCATTTCTTATCAAGATCTGGGGTAAAATAACCCTGGAATGTCCATATTGGAAAAATGTAACTACATCAAGTCAATCGGGGGATTGAGTTATTTGTGCCAGAACGGCGTGGGCCAGAATCAAACCCACGCTGACACAGTAGGCCTATATGTGCCTCGCATCAAGGGCTTTTGTGTGGGATGAATAGAGTCGCAAGTAGGAGGTATTTTATTTTCAAAAGAGAGCACTCTTAGCATTGCTCATTGTGTTTCTATAGCCTGTGCTGTGAGGGACGAAAGTATAGCTGAGGAGAGTGGAGAGCGCTGGAGATGGAAAGAGTGAGATAAATAGATAGATAAACAGAGAGTATGTGTGCAGAGTTCTCACAATTTCTCCCTGTACATCAAAGCAGGACAGCAAGTAATGAACTATAGGCCATAAGTATGTACAGTATTTTGATTAATTTCATTCTGACTGCATAAGAAATATACAGAGCATATTTGAATACTGAACATTATACATTAGGGGGTTTGAGTAATGTAGGAATCCGCAGAAAATTGGTTCAGAGTTTTGGATGGAGAATGCCCTAATAGAATATTCTGGGATGATTCTGAAATCTTGAGCTTTTCCTCGATCAGGACTGCAGAGGATCAAGAGCACTTGCGTCACAAGCCGATGTCCCCCTTTGGCGTTATAATCTCTCTCTCTCGTTCTCTCTTTCTGTCTCTTTCTGTCTGTCCTTCTCTTTCTCCATCTCTGTTTCCTCTACACTATTAGAAAAATGTGCTAAGTAGGACCATACAGGGTTCTTCGGTTTGTCCCCATAGGGGAAACCTTTTTTTCTATCTAGCACCCTTTACGTAGGGTTCTTCAAAGAACCCCTTGTATATGGTTATACTTTGAACCCTCTATGAAGGGTTCTACCAAGAACCATTTTATCTTTGGAGGGTTCTTCCTAGAACCCTTTTATCTTTGGAGGGTTCTCTATGCACAGTTCCACGAGCCTTACTAGCCTTTCAAATGTAATTATTTATGAGAATACATTACATATATAAGGCCTTTCTTTGAGGACCTAGTTATATCCTAACAAAGGGGTGTTAGGAATCTCCTGGTTTACAGGCCACATCAGGCCTGCAAGTCACATTATTCTGGCTTGCAAAGTGATGTGTAATTCCTTTTGGAAACCTGCTCTCAGAATGACTGCCAGGGTAGGGAAGATTGAATACTGAGACTACCTCAATCATCTAAACTGGAACAACCGTCTCAGTAACGGGTGCAATAAGTCCAATTACTAACAGATTGGATTAGTTTAGGAATTTTTTTTTATTTATTTATCTTTGCATAGCATCTAAAACTGTATGTCTCCCGCTATGTATCAATATCTCTCTCCCCTCCTCTCTATATCTCTCTCCTTCTTCCATTTCTCTTTCTCATTCCCACTGTCCCCTTCTCTCTCTCCATCTCCCCCCTCTCAATTTCTCTCTGATCATTGATGACAGCTGTCCCTCTCTCCCTCCACACAGACCCAGCTGATCACCACCAGTCCAGACACTGACTTACTCTCTGAAACCATATTGATTATTCTTTTTGATTTGACACAGTGTTATAACAGACACAGGGTGCACTGTGCTGGAAGAGAGCGGCCCAGGAACTGACCTGTTTTGAGATGAGAGAGAGAAAGAAACATGTATTTTGTACCTCTCAGTTCAACCAAGATGCATGAACAGGAGAACAAACTAGGTTGTACATTACAACTGCTCTTAGAGGATAATGGACATGAATGAAATGCTTCTTTATTATTAACTATCGACCTGATTTGAGAGATATTGTGACTCTGAAAGAGAGAGAGAAGAAATGAGAGGGACAGACATCAAGAGAGCGAGAGAGAGTGAGAGAGAAGAAGAAGAAGAAGAAGAAGAAGAAGCTATAAGTGTTTGTTCTCCTGAAAGTGATGCTGTTTGGTATTCTCTGCCCAGGACAGATGTCTGATCTTTCATGCCAATACCACAACGTTACAGATGACGCAGTAGGTAAATGTTTTCTTTCTATCTTGTTCATCCCTCTGTCTGTCGGCCAAAACATCCCATTCATTCTTGGTCTTTGTGTGCTTGAATCTTTATTATAAGAAATGTCTTTACTAAACTGCAGTATAGTATTTTATAACTGTGGCTTTACTTTCATTATACAACTGTGAGTCACAAAAAGTGTGAAACATAAAAAACACTTGTTTGTTTCACATTTGCTTTTGGGCTCATTGTGTAATTATGTTGTATATTGTAATTAGAATCAAGTCAATGGCCCTGCTAATTGTCCAGAAACAGTTTAGCGTGGGCTGATGGTAATTACCTCATTGCTCCCTCTAGCTGCTTCGGGGTTTGGGTGGAACCAATGAGAGATGTAATGCATGATCCCGAAATCTGTTGATTTGTGTATGCTTGTTGACTGGAGCTGTATCTGTGAATTTTGTGAATTTGTCACTATAAAGTATTGTCATGTGTTGACCTGAAAAATAATAATTTCCACGTGAGTGGTCAGTAAAGGTAGGTATTATTCTGTAACTTATCGCATTCCTAAGTCAACAGCCAAACCCCGCTGAGTGTCAGATGGCCACCCAACCTTATATTGATTCCAGATTCCATCTCTCTCCAAACAACGTGGTTCACTGGGTCAAGAAAAATTATGGGATAATCTGATCAGGGTTTAGTGAGTAGGTGGTCTTGTCATATTAATTAAAGCTCTTACTAACACCTCTGCATAGTTTCACTCTTTCTGGGGGACCCCATGTTTTACCTTCTTTGAAATCAGACCTCTTTGTTTTACCATAGATTTGTATTTATTTTCCAGTGCAAATTGCTAAAGATTTGGACAATGGGTATAATTTTCTCATCTGTTTCTGTACTACATTGTTGTTGTTTTGTTATTTTGCCTCTGCTGTTTATTCTCTTACGGAGAGGCTTTTTCCAGCTGTGGTCTTTTATATGAGAACATGAAGTGCTTTTTTATTAAAGTCAATTCAATTGGTCTTTCAGCTGCTCAATTGGCAAAACATCTTCATCCTTATCCAGCGAGACCCAGACTGTGATTACAGCTTAGAGTGTAAAACTTATTTATGTTTCACCATAGAGTAGCAGGCAGCACTCACTGGCCAAACACCAAACACTGCTCTAATGTGGCGCTAAGCTCAATAGCCTCTTAGCTCTCTCTAAGGAGAACAGTGGAAGAGTTTGTTACCCTCTCCCTCTCAAGCCTACTAATCATGCTGCATTGTCTGTGTTTGCTAGCAGGCTACTCTCTCTGCCTTTGTTGTGGTTGTCAAGCCAGTTTCTCTCTCCCACCTCTGTGTGTCTCTCTCTCCGGCTGCCACTAGAACCAGGAAGTAAAGAGAGAAAGAGAGAAAAAAATACCCAGCAGCTGAGGAAAACAAGGAAGTTAATGCAGCCAGGGCCTGAGCTTCAACTGTGAAGTGAAAGAAGAGCAGGCTAGAGCACAGAGAACAGGGCAGCTGTGCTAAGGAAGTGCTAGCTAGCTAACGTCAACACTGGCTGTGCTCTCCGCGGCAGAGAGAGAAACAGAGAGTGACAAAAAGCGAATGAGACTGCAGAGCCTGCCTCACAGATATACCAGTGAGTACACATTGGAACCGAGCTTCACACGGGTAGGCCCCACAGGGGGAGAGAGAGTGTGTGTGTGTCGGTGTGTGAATGAGTCAGAGAAACAGAGATAGCAGAGTGGAGAAGAGAATTGAAGAGTAGAGGGAGTTTTATGTGCAGTGAGGCCCAGTTGGTTCTGGTTGTTTGTGTCAGAAAGGAGAGAGAATAGCCGAGCAGTGCTCAGGAGGGGTAGGCCCCCACAGAGCGAGCTAGAAAAAGAGAGATTGGAAGAGAGAGAGAGAGAGCAAAATATATACTTTTGTATGCAGCTCAGGCCCTGCTGTGTGTGTCAGGCAGGCAGCGTGGGTAGCCTCCATTCTTAAAATGCTCTCCCGTAGAGTTAAATGAAAGGGGGAGGGAGAGGAGAGAAAGACAAAAATAGTGAAGCGTTAAATGGTCAGGCCCTGATGCTGGACAGAAGGAGGAGGAGCTAGGAGAGAAAGAGAGTGTGTATGCATTTGATCATGCGTGTATGCACTCTCAGTAGTTGCGTGTGTATCTACAGTATGTGTATGTGGGGAAAGGTATGCAAACAAAGAGGGTGTGTTTGCAGACAAAAGCAGTAAACTTTGGCAGATACAGTATCTTTGGAAGGGATGTGTTTTGTTTTCCCTCTGACAGTAGTCCCTACAACTTGTTACTCTTGCTTATGTAAAGTAAGTACCTATTTATATACCCTGTCCTCTACTACTCATCTCTCCCACAGGGTGTCCTTCACTTACCCCCTTACTCACCCTACTCAAACCCACTTCAATGACAGACCAAGGGGAACCCTGGAGAGGAAGTGGAGGACCTGAGGAGGACGAGCTACCGCAGATGGATGGGTCATGTGATGCGTGCGAGCCTGACGAGGCCCAGCCGGCGACCCAGGTGTGTCACACCTGCAGCTTCGCCTTCTGCCCTGCCCACGCCGAGAAACACGCCTGCAGCACACGACACCAGCTGACTCCCTATGGCCAGGACGTGTTGCAGCCCCAGTCCCAACAGCTGGGCAGGGCCAGAGACACAAGGGAGGGGGCGGGGGAGGAAAGGGTACAGGGAATGAGGCCTGCGGCAGAGCCAGGGGTGGTGGAAAATGGGGCATGCGGTGCGGCTGGGTTACAAGAGAACGGGGTGTGTGGAGGAGAGAGAGACCAGGGGGAGGGGAAGGTTGATGATGAAGAAGACGATGGCGATGAAGAGGCAGTGGTGGCCCTAGAGGGGGTTAGTAAGAGGGACACAGTGACAGTGGAGAGGCTGCGCTGTAAGGAGCACGGCCAGGAGGGCACTCTCTATTGCAAGGCTGACGAGAAGGTAATCTGTGTGGTGTGTGCCGTGCAGGGGGAGCACCGCGAACATGAGATCATCACCCTGCGCGAGGCCTACGTCTTGCAGAAGGTGAGTCGCACATCCTTCACGCATACAGTGTCACGCCCTGACTCAGGGGACTCTTATATGTTGAGTCAGGGTGTGAATATTCTATGTTGTGTATATCTATGTGTATGATCTAGTATGTGTCGATCTATGTTGGCCGGTGTGGTTCCCAATCAGAGGCAGCTGTCGCTCGTTGTCTCTGATTGGGGATCATACTTAGGCAGCCTATTGGCACTAGTTGTTCCGTGAGTAGGCTTGTTCTGTGTGTAGCCCTAGGACTTCACGTTTCGTTGGTTTGTTGTTTTGTTGTGTGTTTATCAGTTAAATAAACATGTACGCATTTCATGCTGCGCCTTGGTCTGACCCATCCTTAAACGAACGTGACATACAGTGCCTTCAGAAAGTATTCTTAACCCTTGACTTATTCAACATTTTGTTGTGTTACAGCCTGAATTCAAAATGGATGTAAAAAAAAATCTACACACAATAACCCATAATGATAAAGTGAAAACATGTTTTTAGAAGTCTTTGCAAATATATTGAAAATGAAATTCAGAAATATCTCATTTACATAAGTATTCACATCCCTTTGCTATGACACACCAAATTGAGCTCAGGTGCATCCAATTTCCTTTGATCATCCTTGAGACGTCACTACAGCTTGATTGGAGTCCAGCTGTGGCCAATTACATTTTGGGGACATGATTTAGAAAGAAACACACCTGTCTATATAAGGTCCCACAGTTGACAGTACAGTTCAGAACAAAAATTATACAATGAAGTCCAAGGAACTATTTGTAGATTTCCAAGATAGAATTGTTAAGAGGCATATAAATTATCTGGGGAAGGGTATAAAACCATTTCTAGAGTGTTGAAAGTTTCCAAGAGCACTGTGGAAAATATGGAACTACCCAGACTCTGCCAAGAGCTGGCCATCCGACCAAACTGAGCAACCAGGCAAGAAGGACCTTGGTCAGGGAGGTGACCAAGAACGCAATGACCACTCTGACAGAACTACAGAGTTCCTGGGCTGAGATGGGAGAACCTGCGAGAAGGACAACAGTCTCTATATCACTTCACCAATCTGGGCTTTATGGGACAGTGGCCAGACGGAAACCACTCCTGATAAAAAGGCACATGACAGCACGCTTGGAGTTTGCAAAAAGGCACGTGAAAGACTCTGAGAGCATAAGGTAAAAGAGTCTGTGCTCTGATGAGACAGAAATTGAACACTTTGGCCTGAATGCAAAGGGCTACATCTGAAGAAAACCAGGCACAGCTCATCACCCGTCTAACACCATCCCTACCATGAAGCATGGTGGTGGCAGAATCATGCTATGGAGATGTTTTTCAACGGCAGGGACTGGGAGACTGGTAGGGATAGAGGGATCAATGAATGGAGCCAAATAAAGGCAGATCTTTGATGATAACCTGCTTCAGAGTGCAAACGACTGGGGCAAAGATTTACGTTCCAACAGGACAATAACCCCAAGCATACAGCCAAAGCAATGCTGGAATGGCTTCAAAACAAGAATGTGAAAGTCCTTGAGTGGCCCAGCCAAAGCCCATACTTGAATTTAATTGAAAATCAGTGGAAAGACTTGAAGATGGCTGTTCACCGCCGCTCCCTATTTAACTTAACAGAACTTGAGAAAATCTGCAAGGAAGAATGGGAGAAAATCCCCAAATCCAGACGTGCAAAGCTGATACAGACACACCCATCATGACTCAAAGCTGTAATCCCCACGAAAGGTGCTTTACAATGTATTGACTCAGGAGTGTGAATACTTATGTAAATTAGATTTTTCTGTATTTCATTTTCAATAAATTAGCTAAAATTGCTAAAAACATGTTTTCACTTTGTCATCATGGGGTATTGTGTGTAGATGGGTGAGAGGGAAAGGGTATGAATACTTTCTGAAAGCACTGTATCTGTAGGCGGACTCTCAGTGAATTCACATTGAGCATGATCACTACCTGTCAACACCTGTTTATAACATATATATTACACTGTACCACTGTTTATTCAGATTCCGATGAAGAGATTAAGAGTGTTTAATAGTCACATGTACAGGGTTGCAGGTGTGATTGCAGGGTACAGTGAAAATATTAGGCTCCGCGCTCCAACATGCAGGACTAAGTGAAATAAAATAATGAAAATGGTAATAAAAAACAACAACAATTGAAATAGAAATAGCACTATACACTGTACATCATAACTGTAGCAGTGATGAATAAATGAATGTCCATTGGGGTGGAGGCAGAGTAAAGACTGTTTAGGGGGTGTGGGGTAATGACCATAGGGGAAGCAGCATGACCATTGAGGGGGTGTGGGGACCAAGTGAAATAAAAACAATAATAATTTTAAAAAACAATAATATACATATTAACAACTCAACATTGATGAATGTAAAAGTCATTTGGGATGGTGGGGGGGAAATGTCCATAGGGGGAGCAGCGGAGGGGAAATGTCAATTTATAACGTAGATATAAACACAGTACCACATTTATAACATAGATATTAGACAGTGCCACATGTATAATATAGATATTACACAGTACCACGTTTATAACATAGATATAATCATAGTACCATATTCATAACATGGATATAAGCACAATTCCACATTTATAACACAGACATTACACAGTACCACATTTATAACACAGATATAAGCATAGTACCATGTTTATAACGTTTGATTTATTAGTATCCCCGTTAGCCAACGCCAATGGCAACAGCTATTCTTACTGGGGTCCGACACATCATGAAAAATACATTACAGACAAAAGACTACAATGTACATACATTTAAAAACATTAAGATATAGCGTGTGTGTGTGTGCATATATCAGTTACACCAGTGTTTCCCAATCCTAGTCCTCAAGTACACATTGTTTTTGTAACCCTGGACAAGCACACCTGATTCAACATGTCAACTAATCATCAAACCCTCAATAAACTGAATGAGGTGTGTTTGTCCAGGGCTACAACAAAAATGTGTACTGTTGGGGGTACTCGAGGACCAGGGTTGGGAAACACTGAGTTACACATACAGTTGAAGTCGGAAGTTTACATACAACTTAGCCAAATACATTTAAACTCAGTTTTTCACAATTCCTGACATTTAATCCTAGTAAAAAATCCCTGTTTTAGGTCAGTTAGGATCACCACTTTAATTTAAAAATGTGAAATGTCAGAATAATAGTAGAGAGAATTATTTATTTCAGCTTTCATTTCTTTCATCACCTTCCCAGTGGGTCAGAAGTTTACATACACTCAATTAGTATTTGGTACCATTGCCTTTAACTTGTTTAACTTGGGTCAAACGTTTCGGGTAGCCTTCCACAAGCTTCCCACAATAAGTTGGGTGAATTTTGGCCCATTCCTCCTGACAAAGCTGGTGTAACTGAGTCAGGTTTGTAGGCCTCCTTGCTCGCACACGCTTTTTCAGTTCTGCCCACACATTTTCTATAGGATTGAGGTCAGGCTTTGTGATGGTCACTCCAATACCTTGACTTTGTTGTCCTTAAGCCATTTTGGCACAACTTTGGAAGTATGCTTGGGGTCATTGTCCATTTGGAAGACTCATTTGCGACCAAGCTTTAACTTCCTGACTGATGTCTTGTGATGTTGCTTCAATATATCCACATAATTTTCCTTCCTCATGATGCCATCTATTTTGTGAAGTGCACCAGTCCCTCCTGCAGCAAAGCACCCCCACAGCATGATGCTGCCACCCCCGTGCTTCACGGTTGGGATGGTGTTCTTCGGCTTGCAAGCAACCCCCTATTTCCTCCAAACATACCGATGGTCATTATGGCCAAACAGTTCTATTTTTGTTTCATCAGACCAGAGGACATTTCTCCAAAAAGTACAATCTTTGTCCGCATGTGCAGTTGCAAAACGTAGTCTGGCTTTTTTATGGCGGTTTTGGAGCAGTGGCTTCTTCCTTGCTAAGCGGCCTTTCAGGTCATGTCGATATAGGACTCGTTTTACTGTGGATATAGATACTTTTGTACCTGTTTCCTCCAGCATCTTCACAAGGTCCTTTGCTGTTGTTCTGGAATTGATTTGCACCAAAGTACGTTCATCTCTAGGAGACAGAACGCGTCTCCTTCCTGAGCTGTATTTTTTTATTTTTTTTTATTTTTTTTTGTCATTTAGCAGACGCTCTTATCCAGAGCGACTTACAGGAGCAATTAGGGTTAAGTGCCTTGCTCAAGGGCACATCGACAGATTTTTCACCTAGTCGGCTCGGGGATTAGAACCAGCGACCTTTCGGTTACTGGCACAACGCTCTTACCCACTAAGCTACCTGCCGCCCCGGTATGACGGCTGCGTGTTCCCATGATATTTATACTTGCATACTATTGTTTGTACAGATGAACGTGGTACCTTCAGGTGCTTGGAAATTGCTCCCAAGGATGAACCAGACTTGTGAAGGTCTACAATTTTTTTTCTGAGGTCTTGGCTGATTTTCTTTGATTTTCCCATGATGTCAAGCAAAGAGGCACTGCGTTTGAAGGTAGGCCTTGAAATACATCCACATGTACATCTCCAATTGACTTAAATGATATCAATTAGCCTATCAGAAGCTTCTAAAGCCATGACATCATTTTCTGGAATTTTCCAAGCTGTTTATAGGCACAGTCAACTTAATGTATGTAAACTTCTGACCCAATGGAATTGTGATACAGTGAATTATAAGCGAAATATTCTGTCAGTAAACAATTGTTGGAAAAATTACTTGTGAAATGCACAAAGTAGATTTCCTAACCGACTTGCCAAAACTATAGTTTGTTAACAAGTATTTTGTCGATTGGTTGAAAAACGAGTTTTAATAACTCCAACCTAAGTGTATGTAAACTTCCGACTTCAACTGTACATGTCTGTAAATACACACAACAAGTAGGTCACATGTGGGAGAGGCGGTGTGC